TGAATTTGAAAAAAGCTACAATAAATTGATAGATATGGTCCTTACACATTGAATGATATGCATCTCAATGTTGTAGCTTGCAAATCCTAGGAGAAGATAGATTTCTACACTACCCCCTTTTTTTGGACATGGCCATTTTCTAAGATGACATTTTCATATATATTTTTTTTAATTGACATGAATAAAAGCTGTCTAATTTTGGTTTTACATATGTCTACAAAGTTTCAAAGTGATCCATCTGTAAATAGCCGAGATAAAATTTTGGCCAGACGCTCCCCTTAGATGTTAGAGAACTCCACCACGGCACCACCCCCCTACCCTTTCGCAATCTGTCGTGAATGCATGCATCAATGTACAGAGATGATTTTAGTACCGTTGGATGGGTCAGAATGTCAACTTTAAGATGAGACTAAAACTAAAAACCAGAAAAGCCCAAATCCAAAATTTTTGGCCAGACACTCTCTGTAAGAAATCATTCATCAACTACTACCTACCAAAAATCTCTCAAAAAAAGTGTGAAAAGTGAGATTTTGTAAGAGTACCTCTGCTAAGGTCTGTAGGAAAAAACATATGCCATACTGAAAAATTTTACATAAAAAAAAGTTGCACACAGGTGTTGGCTTAAAAGCACAATTGACAGAATTTGCATAGCTCATGCCAAAAGAAATGGTGGCCATTTCCGCAAGATGGAGTTATAAGGGACACCTCAGGGTTATAAGGGACACAACTAAAAATGCATTTTCAGTGGAGCCTGGGTTAGCAAAGGCTCCAGTTAACAAAATGAAAAACAATCAACAACAAAGAATTTTGATTGCATTTACCTTGCTTGCATAAAAAATTTCACTTAATGAAAAATCAATGCATTGTCAGACATCGTTCATCACAAAATTGTGCATAGAATGTCATAGATAGATTGTGCACCTGGCAACATAAAATGAAGAATAATTAACCTATACTATGATTTATTTCTCCAAAAATATGATAGTTGCCACTAAGTAATTCCTTTCTGTTTCAGTTGTGTTTTTTATATATATATTTTTGTTATAGTACATTTACTTGACCAAATTGAACTAGTGCAAAATTACAAGCAGTCCTGTAATCTTAAGGGTAGCATCTTGGTTGTGGAAAACCTTTTTTTATTTACAGACGATCACTTTGAAACTTGGTACACATATGTAAAACAGAAATTAAGAACTTTTTGTTTGTGTTAATTTTTTTGAAAAAATAAAAGAAAACATGAAATTCATAGAAAACAGAAAAAGGGGGTACTTTGAAAATCTATCTCCTCCTACAAATATTGTGCTACAACGTCGAGACATGTATCATTCAATTTGGAAAGACCATATCAAAAAAAATAGACGTTTCTTGTTTTCCAAATTTTTATTTTTGTGGGTGAGGAGGGCTTTTTTGTAATTTTTTTGATTTTCCATCCTCTGCCCCCCCCCCTTTTTGCAAAATATAGTCCAAACTATATCAAAATAAAGAAAAGTACAAACATCATTTTGTAAAAATTTACAAATCGAACGGTATATCTCTCATTGCTGTAGCTTGAAAATCATAGGAGATAGATTTCTACAATAAAAATTGCAACTTTTCAGGAGAGCCAATAAACTGCCAACTGGTGGCGCGCACTGTATGTAAAGG